GAATAAGTTTCTTTAATTTGGTTTGAATTATAACAAAGCTCACGAAAGCTATCTGTCTAAGAGAAGAGTTGTCTTTGTGGAGGGCTTCTAAGGAAAGCTTACTCGTAACCGTGTTATATGTGGGAAAAACCACGAAAAGCCACTTTTCTAAGAATCAAACCCAGGTCTAACTACCAGTATTCAGCAACTTAACCGCTCTGTTAGACAATCATCCACATTTCCGATTATTTTGGTCTTCGGTGGAGGTGGTCGTCTTAGAGAGATAATGTTCAGTACAAGTGCTTATTTCTACTCTGGGAAATTCTTTTGAAGAGGTCGCCACAAGAGGGTTCCTTGTATATTAAATGTTTAAATCCAGATCACATGGTTATAGGATTTATTTTAATAAGATTTTAAAATTTTAATATAATTTTGAAATAAACCTCTTAATTTTTAATAACTATGATTTTCTTGTTTTCCTATTCAGCCTTAAATGCAAAATTAAACAATTGCTTCCTGTGAAAAAACATTACTTTTAATTAAAATCAAATGAAAAAAAATATGCAACAATTAATTAGCTAAAAAATTGAGTACTATTCTTATTGCAAACTGTGACTTTAAATTGCATCTACAACTGTTTGTTATAACACTGTTTTATACCAAAGCTCAGATGAATTCATTTTCAATTATGCGACAATCCATGTTTCACTAAACCGCAGCTTAAGGCTATAACTACATGGGATGCGAGGGGTGCAATTACTAATGACCTGACAATGACACCCGCCTTCGCCCGCTGGACACCGCTCTATTTTTAACATAAGGAAGAAGCAGCAGCTCACACATCTTCTTGCAATCATTTTCAGAAGTTTCCGGTTATCTGAAGCTATGGTTGCTGTGATACAACTTTTATCTCCCAGCTTGGTGATTTTTCAAAACATGCCTTACATTTCCCATTGCAGAATAAGGGTGACTTATTTTCCTTTTCCTTATTTTCCGGTGCCATTCTTTTCATTTCTTTTTTTCCGGGTGACATTTTTTCCTACAACCTTCCAAACCAAATAGGCCCTCGGTATGTTGGTTGTTTGGAAGACAGGGTCCACTTGATCTAATTTGTGCATAAGAAAATAACAAGCAAAATGGAGTTGAAAGCTATTGCACTGAAGACTACACAGCAATTATCCCAGTCAGGACTGGTTGCATATACAGTCAAAAGTCGTTAATTTGGACACCCATAATCCAGAATAATCTATAATCCGGACCTCAAAGCTACAAACTTTCTGCGCATGTGTCGCGTTCACACATGCACACAGGCGTTTACGAGTGCGCATAAGACCTTTACGGCTGCGAATATGTGTGTGCGCATGCGCGTTTAATGTGTAACGGACGGTATAAGCTAAGCTAAAATTATCTAATTCAGTTAACGTTGCAGATTGCAACATCTTCCTTAATCTTCGAATTGGATCCGGCTTATTATTTTTTGCAGACTGTTTTTTGCAGCAATTTCATAAAAGTAAGCTTGAACTTTCGATTATGTCAAATAGAATTTCCGATATATATTTACTAATGTGTAATTTGTCTCTACAAAGCGAAAGTATGTTTTGAAATCCGAAATCTGTTTATCAATTTCACACCGTGGATTGGAAGTTGATCTGTCAGCACTATCCTTATCTTCAGGGCAGATGTTTTTATTTTATTTGGCTTATAATTCCTTACTAAGTGTAGTATTTCATCTCGATGTACTCCTTTGATATGATTTAAATCAAGTTCCTCGTCATTATAATTCGCTTCCGATAGTGAAGAAAGTGACCCAGAGGTTATTGAAAACGAAAACATTTCGATTGACAAATTAGTCTGTATTCTCAACATAACAATTATAGGACTTGAACAGCGGAACTTTGTAACTAAACAAGAAATTGTGTCTGTTTAATAGAATTAAAGAGAAAGTATTATCACATGAAACAAAGCAACTTACATTGAAAGAAATGTTTAATAAAGTAAACAAATAAATATTAAGCTTTTTCTTTTTGTAAATTTTGACACCCTTTAGATCATAATTGTTCTTTATTTCATAAATTACGGTTTCATATTTTTAATTTTGTAATTTCTGCGTGCCATCTTACCAGATTTAAACTGATGATCTATAATCCGGAAAAATCGATAATTCGGAATCGCCGAAGTCCCGACGACTCCGGATTAACGACTTTTGACTGTATATATATGGATACGACCTTTCACAAGATGGAAATTTCAGAATTTCAGAAGCTGGTGTCTTCTCTGACTTGCATTCTATTCGTCTCTAGGTTCCTTAACCATGCCATTTCATAGACTGTTAGAGGTCATTAGGTTGGCATCTCAACGACTGATTTCTAGGTGTGAGAGTTCTGAAAATGCTATGATTTTATCAGTTTCTAAGTCTGCAATTCAGGCTATCATCTCTTTGAAAACTGCTGATTCGCAAAGAATAAAATACTGTATGTCTAATTTAAATATATTGCAAACCTTATATAAAAAAGTTATTTTGCAGTGGGTTTCGGCTCACTGTGGAATATACGGTAATGAATAGGCTGATTTTTTAGCCAAAAAAGGATTCAAAATCCTACAGATTCTATGAAATCTTATACCTTATTCTACTATAGTGGGAGTAATAAAAGAATGCATAAATAATGACTTTTAATCCAAGCAAGTAGATCAAATTAAGGAAAAGCATTGGATGGAATCTCATTTAAAGGTTCCAGCTACCCCTAGATGAACTGCTGTTGCAACTTTTCGGTTGGAAACTGGACGTGACAGCTTTGCAGAACACTTATTTTGATTTAACATCTTTTTGTCTCCTAACTGTGTATTATGCAGGTGAGATACTGTTATGGATGCTTCTCATCTCAAAGAATGTCCTGAAGTGACTGGACATTTATATGATTGATACTGGCAGACCAGAGAGAGACTTCAACATCTCCAGTCTGTTTGACATGTGTTGTTTTTTGACATGTTGTAATTATGCATTCTGATCTTTTTCATGCTGTTTGTGTTGTGTGTGCTTCTCACACTCTAGTCAATGAATGTATGTTCAAGTGTTCCTCCTATAAATAATATATATACAGTCAAAAGTCTTTAATCCGGACTCGTCGGGACTTCGGTGATTCCGAATTATCGATTTTTCCGGATTATAGATCATCAGTTAAATCTGGTAAGATGGCATGCAGAAATTATAAAATTAAAAATATGAAACCGTAATTTATAAAATAATGAGCAATTATGATCTAAAGGGTATCAAAATTTACAAAAAGAAAAAGCTTAATATTTATTTGTTTACTTTATTAAACATTTCTTTCAACGCGCGCATGCATAAAGCACACATTATGCACAGCCGAAATTAGAAAATTGCAACCAGAAAACTATTTGATTTTTTCATTTGTATTCGTGATATTTATAATGATGAGGAATTTGATTTAAATCATATCAAAGACGAAGTACATCGAGATGAAATACTACATTTAATAAGGAATTATAAGCTGAATAAAATAAAAACATCTGCCCTGAAGATAACAATAGTGTTGACAGATCAACTTCCAGTTCATTGCGCGCCGCAACGTTCCTTCTTCCCCCCCCCACGCAGAGCAGCGTGAAATTGATAAACAGATTTTGGAACGGTTAGATAAACAAAAGATATGCCTTTATCCATTTTTTGGAGCAATTCCACTTTTTGTTTGATGGAAATCGAAACATACTTTCGTTTTTGTAGATCCTTTGGGAGCTCCAGCATCGGAAATTCTTTTTGACATAATCGAAAGTTCAAGCTTACTTTTATAAAATTGTTTTTACAGTCTGCAAAAAATAATAAGCCGGATCCAATTCGAAGATTAAGGAACAACGCAATCATCAACATTAACTGAAATAGACAATTAGATAATTTTAGCTTATACCGTCCGTTATACATTAAACGCGTATTCTGCGCTTGTGCACACGCAAATGCGCAGTCGTAAAGGTCTTACGCGCACGCTTAAATGCCTATTTGCATGCGTCAATGCGGCACATGCGCAGAAAGTTTTCAGCTTTGAGGTCAGGATTATAGATCATTCCGGATTATGGGTGTCCGAATTAACGACTTTTGACTGTATATATGTGTGTGTACAAATTCTTTTCCACAACATAAAATAAACAACCTTCTTTCTATAGTTTCAAAAAATCACATACTATCTATATACTATATATTGTATACTATATACACAAAGGCATATCCTTTGTTTCTCTAACCGTTCCGAAATCTTTTTATCAATTTCACGCTGCTCTGCGGGGGGAGGGAAATGTCGCAGCGCGCAATGAACTGGAAATTGACCTGTCAGCACTATCCTTGTCTTCAGAGCAGATGTTTTTATTTTATTCGGCATATAATTCCTTACTAAATGTAGTATTTCATCTCGATGTACTCCATCTTTGATATGATTTAAATCAAATCCATCATCATAATAAATATCACGAATACACATCAAATAGTTTTCTGGTTGCAATTTTCTAATTTTGTCTATGCATAATGTATGCTTTACGCATGCGCGCGTTGAAAGAAATGTTTAATAAAGTAAACAAATAAATATTAAGCTTTTTTTTTTGTAAATTTTGATACCCTTTAGATCATAATTGCTCATTATTTTATAAATTACGGTTTCATATTTTTAATTTTATAATTTCTGCATGCCATCTTACCAGATTTAAACTGATGATCTATAATCCGGAAAAATCGATAATCCGGAATCACCGAAGTCCCTACGAGTCCGGATTAAAGACTTTTGACTGTATTACACTTTTCTCCTAACTAGAATCTGAGTGGTTCATATGAAGCAACTTTTACAAATGTAAACTAGCCTTTAGCTAATGCAAGCATTAATCGCATGGCAGACAATCTATAAAAGGGACAAAATACATATGTTCTATGAACATTTCCCATATGAACATTTTTTGAAGTTTTAATATTATGAATAGAATATCATTAGCTATAAATAACATATAAATAAATATGTATAACTTACGACATCATTTGTTGATTTATATTCCTTGTAACACATTAATTCAGTGCTGCTCAACCACCTAAATATAAAATGCATTTAACAGCTTAACTCAAAATTAATTACACAGAGATTTCAATAGCAAATGTAGGACAAACACACCAGTTTAAAAGATTTCAAAAATTAAAACACTAATATTAATATGACCACCTTCGTGCAATCAAATGACGTTTTATAAAAGAAAATGAATGCTGACATATAATTGGAGAGAATTATTTATTTTATAAGCCTTTATTATTACATACATATTTTACACTGTAGTTGGGTATTTATCTAAAAAAAAAAACAATAAATAAAATAACCGACTGGAGCTTTTTGTTTATTTTTTTATGTTGTGTTGGATATATTGTTGCTATTGTTTTAACCTTTCAGCACGCGCGCATGGGAAAAGTTTACGACAAATTCAGTTTTTAGTGCATATTTTTCGCATATCAAAGCTGATAAGTATGAAGGTAATTTCTATTCTTCCTTTCTATCCTTCCCCACATCATGGAATGTGCCAACAGGAAATCATTCGACTCTTTTTTTTTTTTTTTAGTCCAAAGGGGCTTTGTCCCTGAAGGACTATTGTTTTCGTTTTGCGTCATACTCATAAACGTCGGTTCACTTTTCAAACTGTTGCCACAAAATGTTAGAGTCCTGCATTATATTTGAAGAAATTAAATAATGAAAAATCTGCATAAATGATTGTCTATTTCTCGCATTGTGATAAAACAATGGTACATAGAGCCATCGAATTTTGAATGACGAAATCCTACTGCGAATATGGGCATCTGAAATCCCAAATTTGGAATTTGTTTTATTATAGATTTTATATTTTGTAAAACTTTAACGAATTTTTGATTTACAAACTCAATGCTTTAAAAGCGAGAAATGGCAACGTTATATAGAAAAAAAATACTTTTATCTCCAGCTCGCGAGACTGTGTATATCGGAAATTCTAAAGATATGCTTAATTTAACATTATTTTGCGATATTGCTCTTGAACTGAATTTTATGGTTTAAGTGCAAAGAACATGATATTTAATAAATAAAGGTAACACTCAAAACGTTAAAAAAATGCCCCTTTGGACGTAATTTAAAATCTGAAACATTTCAGCTTTTTTTTTTTTTTTTTTTTTTTAAACTGGGCTTTTGTGCTACATGACAGCTTTTTCATAAAAGTTATGACACGCACGTGGTCGTGTTTTAAAATTCAGAAAAAATATTTTTTCTCAAATATTTTGTAATTTTGTGTTATTAAGTGCCGTGTATTATTTTAATTTGAGTACATTTGGCTCTGTAAATTTTATATCAGTTTTCATGGCAAAAAAATATGTACAACCAGCTGATTTTGCTCGGATACTTCAAGAATTATCTGATGAAGAAAGGGAAGACAAGGAAACATTTGGATGGGAGAACAATAGCGATTTCCATTCCTTGTTTTCTTTCCATTCCTTATTTTCTTTTATTTCTATTTTTCATAAATAAATAAAAACATTAAAGTTAGTTTAAAGTGCGTTTTTGTAACCAGTAAGAAGTAAATTTCCTTGCAGAAGTAAGTAATGCTAAACTTACTTTTTTTCCTACCAAGGTGCTTTCCTTTTTTATTGCTATACTTGCCTTTGATGAATATTAAAATTAGCTTCGATTTTAAAATATAATTATTAAATGATAAATTTAAAATTTTCTATAATGAAATACATCATTGCATTTCCATCTCACTAACATAAGAACTTAAAAATAATTTACTTATATTTGAATGTAATATCATTTCTATTTTGCAATAATAAGATTAATATTTTATTTCTTAACAAATTTATTATCAATATTCACTCATTTCTGCCGTTTTTTGTGCCAAAAACGGTAAAATAACGGATGTCATAAAAAATACGACGTGCGCATACTCATGTACGAGTAAAATTGCCAAGCGCGTGTGCTGGAAGGTTAAGAACAGATTTAAAACAATTGCTGTTCCTTTTAGCAATTTTGTGGCAGCTGCATTTCCGCAGAAATTTTATTGCACTTCCCTTCAGCAGAAGCAAATCCAGAAACATATACTTTAAAATTAAATCTAAGATAAAAATATCACAATTTGTGGAATTGGAACTTGGAATACAACAATAAAAAAAAATATAAAAATGGTAGTCTTGCTTGCTCAAACTAGATATTGTTATGCACATAGTTGATACAGTTTTGCACATTCTGAAAATTTTGGCAATTTCTACAAGATGGATGTGTTAATATGAACAAACCAAAATTATTTTATTATTTCAGAATTTCAATGAATCGGGTTGAAGTGGATTATTTGCTATGGAAAAGTAAATCAGTACTATTATCATATGAAGTAAATAACCTTCATGAAGGATATTCAGAGGGAAAAGGTCTATATTTACCTTATACACAAGGGGGGAAAAAACACGAAAACCTCATTCATTAATATAATTAACGAGTTCATTATATTAATGAACTCGTTCATTTTTTGGAATAACCACCTGAAGCAAATTATCAGTGTTTCACATTATTAGTCACTTGAACACTAGTTCCTCTAGGAAATCCCGTGATCTGGTAATTCATTTCATTCTTGAAATTATCTCTTTTGTACAATCTAACATATAATTTAATTTTAACATTATAGTTTATAAGAAACATACTTCTGTTCCATTCTGTGCCTAATTTTATTACTCATATAAATAAAACATGAATTATTTCTATTCATATATTTCCGGTACTTTTATGCTATCGGGACTGGATTCATAAATGTGGGAATGTATGTACATATGTGCATGTACATATATACGTACTGGAATCATAAATGTGGGAATGTATGTACATATGTGCATGTACATACATACATACTGGATTCATAAATGTGGGAATGTATGTACATATGTACAGTTCCAATAACAGAAGAGTACCTATTTTCTTGCACCTTTACTGTTTTTCTTAATAGTTCTTACACTCATTTATTTGGCAGCTCTTGCAATAGGAGAGGTTTCTCTACTTTTGTTAATACTACAAAGTTTAGTTTTTTAAAAAATTTCTTCTTAGCAATACAAATAAAATTTTACAATTAAAAATAACTGCAATAATTTCACTATGATTTCAGTTCTTCTTAGCCCAGATTCTCCATAAATCTGGTCTTATTTATTCCTGATTTCAATTTATTAATAACTTTGAAATTCAGCCAGTCATGAACGTTCTTACATAAAGTGACCACACGTCCCGATTTTGGCGGGACAGTCCCACTTTTTGAAGGACTGTCCCGCCGATTTTAAAAAATGTCCCACTCTTTAGAAAACATCTGCATTTCTTATTTTAAATGTACAATAAAAATATATTAACTATTATAGTGAATATAAAGAAATAAAAAAAAAAACACATAACATGTAAGCAGAGTAAACTAAATTAAGTGATGTAATGAGTTAGATTTACTCAGTGGTGTTCTATCATTGTCATTACGTCTCATCATTGAATATGTTTTGTTAGCAGAGGAACAGCTAGCATTAGCGGAAGGGCTATTTGCTTTCCACACCATAAACCACAATCAAAGTTTCAGATCAATTGATTGTAGGTCACAAACAACCAAAACATTGTATGACAAAAAATTTGCACGCGCAAGGACAAAAACCGAAGCAATTATTTGCAATGTTTTTCACTATATTTGTTTCACAATTGAAGAAAGAATTAGATAAATGCACATTTATATCCATATATTATGATGCTTCCAACCACAAAGATTTAAAATTATTTCCCACAATTGTTAGACTTATATCCAGAAACAAGAATTAAAATTAGAATATTAGATTTTGTTTCATTGCTGGTAGAAACTTTTTTCCCTCAATGGCAGATTGTGAACAGTTACAGTTTTATAACATAGTCAATTAATCTATACTAAGGCCAGACGTGATGGTCTCTTTATTATGGAGGCACCTAATAGGTGGGCCACCATTACCTCCTATGAAGGGACGGACAGTTACAACCATGCCTTCTCCGGGATTCAAACCCAGGCCCTTCGGTATCACAGTCAGGCTCCCCTACCCACTATACAGTCTATGCGGCTGCCGGATCAAACTTCATAAATAATTTTTTATTGCCTATTGTGAGGCAATAATTTTATTGTTGAGACTAACGCATATTTTGGTAGAAGAGGCATCAATAACGTTTTTATGAAACGTAACGAATGTTTGAACCAAAAAATTATTTGAGTAGGTTGTGCAGCGCATATTCTACACAATACTATTCAAATGGCATTTGACTTACTTCCAGTGGATGCTGAAAATATTAGTTCAAAAATTTATTCGTATCTTTATATATATGTTGTGCATGTCGAAAGTTTGAAGGATTTTTTTGAAAGCGCAGAAATCGAATATAAAAGAATTATTGGTTACAGCAAAACATGATGGCTAGCTCTTTTACCAGCTGTAGAAAATATTTTTTAAAAAAATGAACCATTAAAATCATACTTTTATCACAAGATGAATGTCCAAGAATATTGCAGCTGTGTTTTTGAAAATGACACATCACAAATTTGTCTTCAGTTCATCCACAACCAACGGAGTCGTAGCTAGGGTTTTCAGCACCCAGGGACAACCGAAGATTTTGCGCCCCCTACTGCTTGCCAAGGATGGAAAACATTTAATTCTAAAATGTCGTAGCATCAGTTTGGCGCCCCTTGGATTCTGTGCCCGGGGACAGGTGCCCCCCTTGCCCCCCTCTAGCTACACCCGACAACCAAGCTACATTATTTCACAATGCTGTGAAAATTATTGAAGGGGGCAAAATTTCAATTATGGAAGTGTCAAATGAAATCAATAATCTAAAAACAAAATTGCGATAAAGAATTGATAACGATTACATTGATTTATTTATTCGAAAGGACATCAATAGGTTGGAAGAACAAGGTGCCATATTAAACGACCTGATTTACTGAAAGAAGTGAGAAATTTTTATAACTTCTTGGAATACCTTGAAGAATGGACAGTTCAATTCGAGGATATTAAAAACTTTCATTAGGTGACATTAAAAAAGGAGATTTTATGGGAATATGTGGAAAAATCTTTTTAATATATTAGTAACCATTTTCCGAAAAATAATATTTGCAAAAATGATCTTTTTGATGAGGTGTCATTGGTAAAAAGATACGTTACTGATGAAAAAAACTAAATGTTGGTTGTCTGCAAATGTGGAAACAGACAAAAAATGGACGGAGTTATTCCTTCATTTTAAACAGAATAATATTCCTTATGAAAATATTTTGAAAACTGTAGAACACACGCTCTCCCTTCCAGAAACAAATGCAGCAACAGAACGTGTTTTTTCTAGTATCAATAAAATATGGACAATTGTAAAAAACACAGTTGAACATTAAAACTTTAAAATCTGTATTAAGCCTAAAATATAATTTGACCAATTCACGTGAGAAATTTCACATTTTAATAAATGATCCAAATCTATTTCAAAGTATTCACTCGGATAAAAAATATAACCGTGAAAGAAAATCATATTTTTTTTAAATACACTATTAAATTAATTAAAAAACATAATATAAATTGCTGTAGGAGAGTTGGTCGCCAAATTTTCGCCAAGTTACCATAATCTAAAGATCAATCACATAGTATCCAAATTATTGTTTTTTACAAATATTTTTATAGTTACCAATAGTTAATAATAAGTATATTTTTGTATATTTATGGACAAGTATATGAATGTATATAATAAAATATATTTTTTGAATTATTGGTCTGCTTTCATAACTAAATTATAATTCTCATTACATTCCATTTGTCCCACTTTGTCTCAATGAAAAATGAAAATGTGGTCACTTTATTCTTACATCATATTTGAATTTTAATTTTAATTTTTTTTTTTTTTTTTTTTTTTTTTTTGTGCAGCATGACATACTTACAATTTAACATGAGAAAGAAGTTTTAAGAAAATGAACGCTGGGAAAAAAAAAGGGTGGAGAAAGGATATGTGTTCCATATAAACTGTTAGTCCCTAGCAATTCTTTCCATTTGCATACTTAACTTATCAGCAAACTTCAGAACTGGGTTCCCCTTTGATTAGCGACAATTTTTTTTAATTTTGCGGATGAAACCTCACTTCTGGTTACCATGATTGTTTTAACTTCCTGATTTTATTTAAATGAAAATAGATTGATGTGTACATGAACAAATTTAAGGCAGTGTGCAATGCCTGTGAAAACAGATCGATATGTGCACATGGACACAGAGTTTGTGCAAGAGGTACCAAATCATATTTGAGCAAAGAATAATGTGGTGAGAACATTTTAAATTAAAAAAAATACATGTGCTATTCATCAGCCATGTGAAACTTACAGGGCAGTGCTCAATGCTACTCCACAGGTTTTATAATTAATGCATAATTTGACATGAAATCCCTATCCAAAAGAAGATACTATTTATAATGGTTTAAACCATGTAGAAATTTTTTAAGTGAAACTAAATCGATGCATACATGGACAAAGTTAAAGCAATATGCAATGCTAGTTTACGCTCTGATGCCTTTTTAAGAGAAAATAGATCAATGTGTACATGGACACCGAGTTTGTGCAAATCTTTGACTTTTTATTCTGGTTTTGTGTAGCGGCCATCATGAAATTTTACCTTTCTGGTGCCGATCTTGGTGTCCAAAAAGAATCGCCAAAAAAAAAACAAAGAGCACCCAATTGTAAATTTTTATCCAATTATTTTATATATATATGAAAGAAAAATCTGATTTGGACATCGTATAACCTCCTAATACACCTATTAAATTATAGACACTTTTTGCAGCACTTCATTTAAACTTGCTTCTACGATCCACCAATTCTTTAATATAATTATTATAATATAAATAATACTAATGACACTTATTATCAATATATAATCTAATTAATGTTAGAATTATTATTAATTAATGTTAAATTAATTACATAAACAATTAATACAATAATTTATTGTATATAAACAATTTATATAAGAAGAGTTTGTTTTGGAAGACCAGAGTATAGCATAGCGGATAATTAACTACATTTGAAAGGATGTAGAATTTGACGTTAATAGTAGTAATATTAGCGTAAAAGAAAAATTTTTTAAATTACTAACGTTGTATTTTCTAATATTAATTGAATGACGGTTCTAGAAGCGGCAAATCACGTTTCTACTATTGCCATTGTCAAAAAGCAGCAGACAAACGATTTATATTAATGCAAATCCAATAAATAAAACACGCTTTAACATTTAAGTCTCCGGCTGAATTACAAAAACTGAATGATTCTATTGAAACTTGTTATGGCACTGCTGATGCAATAAAAAAACAGACATGCACTAGATGTTGTAGCAGATCCTTATATAAAATTTCAACATTTTACGATTAATCGTTTTGGAGTTATGTGAGATACATATGTACACACATCACCTCGAAACTAGTCAAAATGTATATTTCCATTGAAAACTGAAATTTTTCCCTATTCCAGTACTTCCTACCCTTCGTACCAGGAAGTAAAAATATCTTTAAAAACATTTAAGAGCAAAGTTTTAAATAGTTTACTATAAAAATAAATCATTATTTACTGGACTGACATAAAAAATTATGCTGAACACTGATATTGTTAGATACTGTTGCGTCCTCACGCCTAAACGATAAGCATTATTTAAAAGAAATTAAGATTGCAGGTTTCTTTAAATAAAAACATAAAGATCTAATTCATCTAGCCATCACTATATTCGCATTCAACGATCGTTTATCATAATAGCACAAGACATTTCATCATAATTGCGCTTTTAATCACATTTGAAAATTCTACCTAAATAAAATTGCTTCTCTACCGAAGTGAAAAATCATTCAAGCAAGTGCCGCCATCTGGCGACACAGGCAGTTGGAATAAAGTTTTGAATTCATTAAAAATATCGGGAGAAGTTACTTCAAAGCTGGCAAAAAACAGGGAAAATTATTGGGAAAGCATTTCAGCTGCCTTTAGAATAGTCGATAGCACTTCAGCAGAAGTTTATGCTTTTTTCTGTTTCTGAGTAACTTTAAAAATTTTTTGGATTATACTAATCCAGTTAAAATTAAGGCAATTATTTTCATTTATTTAGACAATTATTTTCAGTTCCGATGTATTCTGAACTTTTCTGATATTTCAGAAATTCGATTATTAGTTTTCTTCGACAATTTCGGAAATTGCTTTTATACGTAGGACATCAGTCATAATCACATTAACGTGATGTCTTTACAGAGTACACCAAGAAGGTTAGAACAGACCTCCTGGGGGGCTGTGTGATCACCGAGGCAAGCGGCAGCACGATCGCTGCGCTCCGTAAAAGAGTGAAAATTTTTCCTTTCCTCTTGGTGATTATCAATTAAATTTCTTTGAAAAATGTTTATTTTTCCCCTACAAAACCTATATCATTCCAATGAATTTCGGCTCCGATGGTGACGAGAATAAAACAGCGGACAATGTAAGGATATACTCCAAAAGCCGGGAATTTTAAAATAAGTACTTTTCTTTCATCTAAACTAAATCAAATTTCTATAAATAAGTGCCTTTAAATCAATAAATCTTAATTTTTCATCAGTTTAAAGCATTAAAAAATACTTGAAATTGCCATTGCTTGTGGCTTCCTTTGTGTATCAACTTCCAAACAGACGCCAACGTTATCAGTTCACGTCTGTCACCACTTACAAAGCCCTTATCTTGTTTTGAGGAATCTCGTGAGAGGGAAAATTTGGGGATGAGAGGGATAATTTGGGCATCGCGCTATTTCCCTCTCGGATCTTCTGGATTCTCTTTCTTTCTAGATCGCTTTGAATATAGTTTCGCCTTTAAATAATATTATACCTCACCGATTTTTTCTCATACTGTTCCTTTGCTATCTGTTAAATGTCCATATGTAAGGGATGGTTTATTCTTCACCGCCTTAAATGAATTTTTAGAACTATGAGCTTATATAAATAACAGTGTGCCTCATTGTGTTATATTAACATTATTTAACTAGTAATAAATTATGATAGTAAAATAATTAATCTTGTAATAAATTATGATAGTTAAATTAATAAATACTGTTTAATTTGTGTTTTTAATACATATACTCAGTAATTTACACACATAAATATATATATATATATATTATTTTATTTATTTATTTATTTTTTTGGGTGTATGCGATTGTGGTCTTGTATTGTATATGGTTCTATGTTGTTAGTCTGCTGCTGCTTTTTGAAAAATGTATGAAAATGTTGAGAATGAAAGCAGCATAAGTTACTTTGGTTAAATTAATATATACTTTTGTTTGATGACCTTTGTTGATATCTCAGGATGCAAGCGTACAGTCGGTCACAAAAGTATTCGAACACCGGTACCCTATCAGAAAATGACAAGATGGCGTTTTTTTTTCTCTTTCTCTCTGTGTGTCGTGTTATTCCATCCTAGGTTTTCTTCTCCCCCCCCCCATCTTGGAAAAAACTGGAAAAAATTGGTTACGATCTCTTTTTGAATGGGGAGATGCCATTTTGAGAAAAAGCTGACGACCCTATCTTGGAGAATGAACATGACCGCTCTACACACCCTTTTACTCTCTCTCTCTCTCTCTTTGAATTGGGAAGCCATTTTGGGAAAAAGCAGACGACCCTATCTTGGAGAATGGAAATGAACGCCTCTCCCTCTCTCTTTGAAATGGGAAGCCATTTTGGGACCCTCTATTCTTGGGGAGGGAGAAAACTGAAGTCTGCATTTCGCTGTCTCTGAATGCGGAAAGCCCTTTTGGGAAAAGCGGACCCTCTTCTTCTGATCTTGGAGAACTGGAAATGAACGCTCTACACGATCTCTCTTTGAATTCAGAAGGTATTTTGGGACCTTCTAATGTTGGAAAACTGAAATGAACGCTCTACGCATTTTCTCTCTCTCTCTCTTTGACATGAGTAGCCATTTTGGAGGATTCTCCACCACCATCCTAACCTTGGAAAACTGAAATGAACGCTCTACACCTTCTCTCTCTCTCTCTCTTTCTCTGAAATGGGTAGCCATTTGAAAACTCCCTAACTTTGGAAAAAAACAGAAATGAACGCTCTACACCATCTCTCTTTGAAAATGGGGGGGTGTCATTTTGAGACCTCCCTCCCCTAAACTTGAAAAAAAAAACTGAAATGAACGCTCTACACTTTCTCTCTTTGGACATGGGTAGCCCTTTGGGGACCCTCTCCTCTTGGTAGGAAAAAAAAAGAACTGAAGTGAAGGCTCTACACAATCTCTCTTGGAATGGGATCCATATTTCGGGAAACGTGGATCACCTCATGCTGGAAAACTGAAGTGAACCACCAAGATTGGACTCTATATAATATTTTTTTTAATTGACATCATGACCCTCCTCCCAATTTGTTATTAAAAAAATTTTTTTTTTGTTTTGGTTTTTATCCCATTTCCGATGTGATTTCAGAAATGCAATTCCATAACAGTTCAATTTCATTCGAGGTTAAATGATCTAAACAGTCTTTGACCCACCCATCCGTATGATTATTTTCTTCTCCTTCCTGTTGCACCAAATTTTGTAAGTCCATATAATCATTCCATACGGGAAGGGCTGGATCCTCACAAGGCTGTCTTGAAACACTTGGAGTCTCTTTGGGATGAGTGGAGGGATCTAGGATGTCTGGACCCGGCTGCGATTCTACCTCCATGATTTCTGGACCCGTTGGAACTTGTTTACCCGGCTGAAATTCTACCTCCATGATTTCTGGACCCGTTGGAACTTGTGAACCCGGCTGTGATTCTGCCTCCATGATTTCTGGACCTGTTGGAACTTGTGGACCCGGCTGACATTCTACCTCTACGATGTCGGGACAGGTTGGAGGAGGAGAAGAAGAAGAAGAAGAGGATACTGGAAGAGGTTCTGTCTGTGAGGAGTCCGAAAGAGGTTGCCTGTTTGAACAAGTCGGGGAAGAAGAAGAAGAAGAAGCTTCTGGATTCTGAAGCGGATCTTGCACGCCAGGTAGGTTCCGGTAAGTCGACCGTTTTTTAAGAGGTAATTTTTTTTCTTCCTCCTCATCTTCAATTGTGATGACTTCAATTTCATTCCGTTGCCGGGTCGATTTTGTTTCGGGGAAATGACGGTTTGGTCCAGCTCCTCTTATCATCTAAGGAAGGGATGGGTAAAGGTGGCGGAGGGTTTTCTTCTCTTTTTCTTGAAACATCATCGGCGATTGGAAAGAAATCTCCTCTTTCAATTGTTTCCAAAGCGAGTACGAGCACCGATCGACGAGAAAGAGACTCTTCTGGGTTGTGACGATGAGATATTGCGTTTTCGGGGGAACGACATAGTTTTGAAAAGGTCTTAGAATATATTTCTTATATTTCATCCTGTCGCTGACTTTAAAACTTCTTTCCTTCAGATTGGGGGACGATGATTCGTAATAGGCGAGAGGAGCGGCTGTGGTTTGAACAATATGAACTTCGTCCTCAGCCGTCGTTCTCACTCCAAACGTAAAATATCGTTTCGTGAGAAAAATATTCTTCCACCGAAAACTCGTGCGCGGATCTGTATATCGCCGGTCTGTTTGAATGGGCCGTCTCAAAGCTCGATCCATCCGATTCCAAGAGAAGGGAGATTCCTCTTTCGTTTGTTGCGATTCGAATAAATTTCTGTATATATTCTGAACGAGCAGGTTGGAGGATTCGACATCTTGGTTGAAAGAAACGATCGCTTGATGAGGTGGTAAATGCGGAATAAATGTCGCACAATGACACGCCAAAAAAATTTTCAAGTTGGAGATTTGCTTTAGCGTCTTCAAATCCTCCCCGTTCGAAATCCGTTGAGTTGGAAAAACGTCTAATAGCGACATGGCTCCCAATGGAAAAGAAATGATCTCGCCCAGTACTCTCGTCTTTTTATATATCTATATAGACACACACAGACACACATAGAGGCTCTATGACGTCCGTTTTATTTGTTTTTTTTTGTTTCTCTCTCTCTCTTCTTTCCAAGAAATCTTATCTCCATGACCTCTTTTTCTTTTCTTAAAAAGATGAATGTGTGTGGGAATGAGGAAGTGAAAGTAATAATTTAATAAACAAAAAAATTATCCAACCATGACCTTCTTTTTTTTTCAAAGTCACCCTTTCCAATCCAAGGACGTCCAGAGATAGAGGAAGCAGGGAGAGAGGAGGAGGAGGGAAGGGAAGGTCACACTCTCTTTCTCTCTATAAATAAAAGGGGAGAGCCCCAAAGTCGTATTTTTGTCCAAGTGGATCATGAGGAGGCATCCCCAGCTCACTACGTGTATTCCTTTCAAAATATAAATATGTTGATCTTTCCTTTTATATCATCCAAGGAGTCGTTTACCTGAAAGCCTCCGATTTTTCAAAATGTGCGGGTTATTATACCGTGGGGAGTTATCAAAAGATGCGGGACGAATTTTTATCCGACGAAAACGTGTTGATGGCTCGTGACATTCCACCTTTGGATGCACAAATTTTGTTAATGAAACGAGCCAAATATTTTTACACGTCCCACTTTCTAACCGTCTCGCAAATGAATAGGATTATGGATCGTCTTGAGAAGACAAAAGGGATTCTCGTTCATTTTAGTGAATGGTTGCACAAATGTTTGCACGAACCTCTCTCGATCGAGAAGACTGGGAAGAATACCTATTATATTCTTCTCGAGGACTCTCCTCCTTCGTCTCATCATAGAGAGGCCACGACTTTTGAAAAAATCCTCGAGCAAGAAAAAATAGAATGGTGGAACAACTACCCCATCCCTCTCCCCGAGCATCAAGAGGAGCCTGTTCAGAAGAAAAAGAAAAAACCTTTCCA